GGGGGCACCTGAGCAACCTGAGCATGGGGTTGACCTCTGACCTTTCCTAAAGTGGAGCTGGGTTGGGGAAAGGGGGCCCCTTCACATCTCGGCATGGGGGGGGCCCTCTCCCGCTGCCCGCCTCCCTCGTGGCCGTCGGCCGAGGCCGCTCGTGAGGTAACGAGCGGACGGAGCTGGAGGGCCCCGATCTCCCGCCGAGGAGCCCCTTCTCCGCGGCCGACACGGCGGCCGTTCCCGCTGCCGGCGGAGCAAGGACGCCGGTCCTGCGATCTCCATCATCCGAGGATGACGCCGGACACCCGAGCCGAGGGGGCAAACCCCCCCGCCCCCCAACCCACATGGAGGAGATCCCCCCCTTTCAACCCGTTTCATCCCACGCCGCCTGCCCCGCGGAAACGCGCAGCCCCGGCGGATCCAAGGACCCAGCGCCAGCCAAGTTTTAAATGACTTTATTTACAACAAACAGTATAATTAAACACTGAAGAAAGCCAGGAAGAGAACAGAAAGCAAGAGTAAGTCAACCTGCTCGAGAAACTTGTAAATGGCCTTGCTTTGTTTATGCCTCTTTTTTTTAAATACAGTAAAAAATATCCCAAACAAGAGTCACACAGTTTAAAAGAAAAAAGAAAAAAAAAGACAAAAGTGCTCTCGAAATACCTCGTTGCCGAGGAGAGCGGCTAAACGCGCGATGAAGCAAGTTCCTGCCTCCGGCGTCGCGGAGCAGAGGAAACCTACGGAGGAGGTGCATTTTCGCCTGGTTTCTTTCCAATTAAAAACCGATCTACTAGGCCTTCAGCTTTCTGAAGACGGCTCCGTCCCAGCGCAATGGTTTTCTAGCCGGAGCCAAACCAGAGCAGAGCTTCATTCGCTAATAGATATTCAGATAATTAAAAACAACCCTGCCATGTCAGTCCCCCGCGGGTAGGAGCCTGCTGGAGGGCACCGACGGAGCAGCCCAAAGCGTTACGAAGCCCGGGCTCTGCAGTGTTTTCTAAAGCAACCTCTACGCTCTCAGGTGCCTGGTTCTCCGCGCCGGAGCGTAACCCAGGAGCTGCCCCAGTCCTGTGAGCCTGGGAAGCAGCGGGCTGGCAGGGCGCACGGCTTCATGCTTCTCCATTCCCTGAAGCCCCGAGCTGTTCCCCCCCAGGGTCGTGCTAACCGGGGGGGAAGCAGCAGGGACTGGGGGATGGAGAAAGCCCTCCAACTTCCTGGTTCAAAACCATGGTCCAACATCCCCGGAGAGCCTAACATACTCGTGGTGCACCGTGACATCAACCACAGGCGGCCGTGGGCATGGCTGTGATGTCTACTGAATAGGCCAGGCCCCTCCCTACATCCAGGTTCAACCAGCACCACCACCTTTGCCCCCATTGAAGCTTTGGATTTGGACACGAGCAGGACGGGCTCCCAGAAAGGCCCGGGGTATTCAGCTCACTCCAGGCCAGCCCGCAGGGACCAAAGACCCACTCAGCCCTGCCCCAGCTTTCAAACGGGCTGTGAGGCCAATGGCCGGAGCACGTGGGGCTGTTACTGTGACACCGTGGCTTGAATGGGTGCAGTGATCCCACGCCAGCTGGACGATAAATCTGTCCAGGAGAAACTTCCTGGGCAGAAAAGCCTTTGTGTTTCAAAGCCAAGAGGCTCAGTCCCCCACGGAGAACGGGGACAGGCCGGGCTTGTTCTCTGACAGCAGGCACTAGTCCATGAGGGCGGCATCTGGAGAGCGAGAGAGCCAGGATGGCTGGCCTCCATGCTCACGCCTTGCTAACTCCTGACACCAGTGGCATTACCAGATTGCAGAGCCCAGCCCCAGTTTAGAAACCTGCAGAGAGTGACCCGAGAGGACCCCCGGCGCCACAGCAAAGCTTACAGCTGCAATTCCTCCCAGTCCTGAGCGCTGTGGTGTAGACTGGATTCTGGGGCATTCGTTTGCCCATCATGATACCTGCATCCTAGTCTATATTGTCATCTCCACCAACTGAACCTGCTAGGATAAGCAGAGCCTCGGAGCCCGGGTCCAGCTGCTGGCTTCCCCACTAGAGCTGTGTTTGGAGCTGGCACGGCCCCTGGCCTCTCTGCTTGCCCTTGAGGAGGTGGAAGCAGGCGGCTGGAAAGGGTGTCACTAGCACATGGCGGTAGAACTGTTTTCCAGCCAGCAGCAACTGAGGCAAGAAGGAGAGAGAGAAGGACAGTGGCCTACAAGGCTCCCGGGCCCATCTAGGAATGAGGGAAATGTCTCTTTGCAGGTATTAAGCCTGAGACTGCGTGACAGGTGGTCTGTAACTCCATAAAGAGGAACCTCTGCCCTCAGGGCTGTCGGGATTGTCTGCTCTTGTGTCTGCGGTTGTCCTTCTCGGAGAAGGTTGGCACAACCACTGAGGACTCCCCAAGCACTTAGCTGGTGGACAGCTAGGGTCATGCGTGAGCATGAGTGCGGGTGCAAGCGTGAGGGAGAGAAGGCTTTAACACAACAGCTGCAAACAAAAGTGGTGTCGAACAGGCTAAGTTGAAATCCTTCCTTCTCCTCCAGGAATCTTGTTTCCCTTGCTACAGTCCCTACCATCGCATAGTCCCAAGACTTCCTCGTCTCCCAGGGACCAACCACGTGCAAAACTAACAAGAGGCAGGGAGACCCATCAGGCTTTCTCCCCTTCCATTTATCGCCATTAAGCAGCCAGAAAGCACAGAAACCCACTGCTTTCTGGGTTGCCATGAAAAGCCAGGACACAAATCCGCTACTCAATGGCCTTACAGCTGCTGCACCTCAGCCCGGGATCAGTGCAGGCAGGGGCCACCCTGGCAGGCTCTGGGGATACTTTTATAAGAGCAGAAGAGATGGTTTGAGAAACCATGGGCAAAAACGATGGAAGCAGCGGCAGCGCGCCATTCAGGTGTGAAGCTCTCAAACGGAGATCTCTGGGAAGCTGGCCTGAGCCCTTACGCCCTGAAGCCATACGGGTGGCACCAAGGGAGGGAGGGAGGGACATCAACCAGCTTCCAGTGCCCTGGAAGTCTCCATGCGAGGAAAGCAGCTCCCCTGGCTCCAAGCCTGCTCACGAGCCCCAGGAGGGGGTCAGTCAGGACCCAGCTTGTGCTGGGGGTCTGGCGAGGGCTGCGCATTGACTGCAGCTGCCGGGAAGGAGGCGATTGCCGCTGTCACTGTTGAGCACAGTGGGGGACTTTGAGCTGGTACGAGAGGGGCATCTGTAGATACATGGCCTTTGGGCCACGTGGGTGCAGGCCCTCACCACGGATCTGTCCATTCACACCCTCCTGCTGCGCAGCAATCCCTGTGCTGGCAGGTTCCCCTGGCTCACAACCCCCTGCCCCCATGGCCCATTCCTGCCCACCAGCAACGGCCTGGGGCTTGCGTAGTTTCAGCTCCACAATGGTACACAGTGCCCCCAAAGCTAAACACTGGGAGGCCTAAATTGGGAGGGAAGCCTGCCAGGCTGACGGCCACGAATCCCTGCCCCCAGCAGGGTAGATTGGAGCATACGAGGCCTGGTGCATTGCTGGTTGATTGGCTGACTGGCGACTGGTTGATTACTTCCTGAAAGGAGTGGAAGAGCAGACCCTGATCCTCACATTGCTGCCTTTTGGGGCAGGAGCTGCACATGTTGCAGCTGAGGAAGGAGCTGACAAACTTCTTGCTGCACTGTGTGCACCCTCCACACGTGATCTGGAGCAGCGCACCGTGTCTAGCCCAGCCCATCCTCTCTGCTCGTCCATCTCGTCCAGTGACTGCCGTTCATGACGGGGTGTTGTTAGCACGCTCCTCCAGAGGGTCTGCACCACGGACCCTGAACTCATCAAACCACTCATACCAGCCCCGCTGGAGATGATGCAGGGAAGGGAGGGAGCCTCGGGGTGTCGACATCGAAGACACCACCGAGAACGTCTCCCCAAGCCAGCCGGGGCACAGCTGCACTGGGGGAAACGGAGGGTCGGGGAAAGCCTTCAGTTCATCACGCCTGCCTTGACTCTGCATCGCAAAGGGGCTGGGCACAGAGCCTGCTACTGACCCGGCTGCTGTTATCATGCCTGGGTGAGGCCGCTGTCAGCCCCTACGTGGACTCCACCCAGAGCCATCAGCGCTCACATAACCTGAGGGCTACCCTCTTCCCCCACCTGCCTTCTCCCCGCCCTGCCCCAGCCAGGGCTGTCTTTGGCTTGGCTAAGCAGGAGGAAGGGAACAACCCTTTGCTGAGCTCTCTGGCTTCACACCTGGGAGAACGGGGGGAAGAACGGTGTGAGCATGAATGGTCACGGTGTACCTGTTGTTCTCCTCTGTTCCACGGCCTCTTCCATCCACGGGTCGCTCTACCAGAGCCTCACCACGGTGGCTGCAGCACCCCCGACAAGCAGATGTTGCACTGACCCTGCTGCAGGCTCCGCCACCTCTCAGAACATCACCAGCCGAGAGACCCCCAACACTGACAACTCCTCACTCCTAGGCTGCCCCGAGTGTGCTGACTGGGTAGGGAGCCACACGTGGGCCGTGCTCAGCCCATGGCAGGTAGTGCGGGAATACAAGGAATTAACTAACGAGTACTGGTATGCAAACTGAGGCCGGAAGTCAGGCTCCATGTTGGGAAAAGCAGCCTCTACTGGAAGGCGCCGCCATTCCCAGTTCCCAACGAAGCTTGAGGCAGAGCCAGAATCGCCGCAGGGGAGCTCAGGAATTGCAGCAGCCAGGCTCAGAGGCCGCTGGAAACACGGGGCCTGGGTGACTTTGGGCTCATGGAGTTTAAGGTGAGAAGGGGCCATCCAGCCCAGCTCAACTTGGTTTGAATCTGGCCTGGGCTTGATGACATCGAGAGGCAGAGA